TCTTCACCATTCGAATATTTCAAGAAAAACACACTACTGGCTACATTGAATTAATAACAAACTGAATAAACATGCGACTTAATAGATAAAAAAACATTGAACTGGTAATTAATTCACTCATGAATAATATTATTAACGATATTAAAGTGAAACAATATAATTGTTGGGTTTTGTCTTCCAAGTTAACAGTTTATGAAGTTCGACAGATGTAATTTTGATGTTATTAATTCAGTGTTTTGCTATTTCTAACATAATTTCTTGTGTAATCTCTCTTTTTACACATTGAAAAGTTGTTTGTTAAGAGAAATAATCACTGTTTATTGCGAGAATCATACGGAACACATAAATACACTGTGTGGACAGAATGCAGTATATATAGATTCAGTTCGTACCTCTCAGGAAACACATTAATGCTGGATATACACGTGTATTTACCATCATGCTTAAACAATGCAATACAGTTGGATTTGTCCGTAACAGGTGTAACGTGACAGTGCAATGATATTGTGACATTTCAACGTACTGCCAGGCAACGGCTCGATAAACACCCCGCAATACGTGCACGCAACAATGGAACAACGGTGTTATGCAACTCGCTTCTGGGCAACAGCTCGGTAAACACACTTCCGCGCAGGTGCAGTGACTTCACACTCCAACAGTACTTACGTATAACGTGACTTGTTTTCTGTGTGGTCTGCGCTACGCTGCAAGAAAACTTTGTTTTCTGTGTGATCCGTGCGAAGCCTCTGTAAGAAAGATCTGTTGTAGCTTAGATTAGTGAAGAGTCCAGGAGGGTTCAGCAATTGAGAGTACAAGGACAAGAAAGAGCATATCCTTAGTGCATTGTGAAGATTATTTGAGTACAGATTAGGACAGAGGAGTACAGAGTGAAGACGAAGTAACAAGAAGAGTTCTCAGTGATTTGAAGCGCTAGTTTCTATGTTGGGATCCGTTACCAGGAGACGACTAGTGAAGACGGAGAATCCTAGTGCTTATGCAATGGTGAACTGTGAATTGTGTGAATCAGCCATAGCGCTGTTTTAATTGTAATTAAGAGAGAGAGAGAGAGAATGTAGGCGAAGTGCCAATAAATCCAATCGCCCGAACTAGAACCCGTTATTTTCGTCACGCGTATCACCCTATACGTGATAATATCAGTTCTGACTTGTCACGAAGTGCCTACGAACACGAGAGCTGTATCAACATTTTCAGACTTCAAGGGCTCCCGATTTGTAACTACTTAATTATGTCTCCATCAATACATAAGCCCCTCCTCCCCCTTTTTTATCTTTTATCCAGCTTGTGGGATTATTATAAAATTCTGGCTGTGTCTCATGTCATAGGAAATGTTAGTAAAAACCGCCGAACTGTGGTCATACCGGCGTCATAACGTTTTCCCCAATTCGCCCCTCTTCTCACCCAACATTGATAAATGCGTGTGTATTATACACAGGGAGCTTTCATCTCTTCATAGAAACCATGGCAATACATCCACCCCCTCCCCCACCACACCCAGCGTGGGCTCATCACACAGTTTGCGGGGGGAAGGGGTTTACGTTACGGGATCTGAGGTCCTCAATCATTATCACGTGACAG